CCCCAGCCACTGCAGCCTCGCCTGCTGGGCTCCAGCGATCCTTCCGCCCAGCCTTCCAAGTAGCTGGAACTACAGGCGCGCGCTACCACGCCCGGCTAATTTTTTATTTATTGTAGAGATGAGGTCTCACAAAGTTGCCCGGGCGGGTCTCGAACCCGCGGGCTCAGGCAATCCACTCACCTCAGCACATGTGACTTTTTTCATGGCTTAAAAAGATGGAACAAATTTGAGGTCTGTGAAGTTCTCCTTACTATACTATTTCTGTTCCTGTTTTATGCACTGATGAATGTCCTAGGAGAAAATCTCTTGAAAATTACTCTTAATTTTGATCAGCAAATACAGATAAAGATAACAGTTTTTTCTGGGAGTGGAAATTATAAAAACCTATTTTCTTAAATTTAGAACTATTTTTGTGTTAATTAGCCCTTGTGGGAAGTTATTTCTGTTTTAAAAACCAGAATGTAAATGTATTTTACCTAATAATTTGGATCCTTAAATGCTTTCTAAAAGGCAGTTTGGGCCGGGCTCGGTGGCTCAGCCTGTAATCCCGCGTCTTTGGGAGGCTGAGGTGAGTGGATTGCCTGAGCCCAGGGGTTCGAGACCCGCCTGGGCAGGCGAGACCTCATCTCTACAATAAATCAAAAAATCGGCCGGGCATGGTAGCGTAGGCCTGTAGTTCCAAGTACTTGGAAGGCTGAGGCAGAAGGATCGCCAGAGCCCAGCAGGTCGAGCCTGCGGTGGCCAGGAGCGGACACGGCACTCCAGTCTGGGTGACAAAGTGAGACTCCAAACTCAAAAAAAAAAAGCAAAAAAAAACTAAAAGGCAGTTTGGTAAAGGTTTTATATATAGGCTTATGTGTAATGGTTAAATAAACTTATTGAGCATCAAGTACTAATAAGTACTTGATATACTCTTAATTTAAAGGTCTTGCAAATACATGATAAAGTATTTGAAATGTACTTGGTCATGTAGGAACTGAGTACTTAGTCAACATTTTAATTCAAAAGTTGATCATTAAAAATACATAGTTAAAATAGTATATAGTCACTTCATTCCAATGGTATTAAAATGTCTGATATTAAGGTACAGAACTTACTTCTGACTAATTTACCATTAAGAAACTAGTAGAATCTGGATGGGCACAGTGACTCACATCTATAATCCCAGCACTTTGGGAGGCCAAAGCTGGAGGATTGCTTGAGCCTAGGAGTTCAAACCAGCCTGGGCAACATAGCGAGACCTTGTCTCTACAAAAATAATTCGCCAGGTGTGGTGGTGCACACCTGTAGTCCCAACTACACTGCACACAAGCCTGGGTGACAGAGTGAAACCCTGGCTCCTAAAAAGACAACAAAGAAGGAAAGAAAGAAAGAAAGAAAGCAAGAAAGAAAGAAATTAGTAGAATCCTTCTGTATTTGCTGTGATTTTTTGGTAACTTTAAACATTGGTTGCAAGCAATATGTAAGTTTTTCTCTAAACATAAAAATGTAATCATTTCTTTGAAAAGCTCTCAAGTTGGGCAAACCTCTTTCAAAACAGGTTCTAAGATGTCTAACGGGTAAAACGGGGTACACCTTGAAGTACCCTAATTGCCAGAGCTGGAGAGGTTTGCTCCTCTGTCCCACTCAAGCCTGACGCAGATTTAGGCTCCCTTCTCCAGGCTTTTTAACACCAAAGAAGGGACGCCAAAGCCTTAGACGTGGACTTTTTGAAGTTAAAATTCCTGCTATTAATGTAAATGCAGGATTTCTGTTAGGAGCGAAAACTGGTTTGATGATAGTGTCGCCCAATTCGGAGAGGCCCTGTGCTGCTCAGCTCACTTGCTCACTGTGGGCTGCTGACTGTCTAACTGTCTCCGAGCTCGCGCCACTTACCAATGCTCATCTCACCCCTCTCTTTTCCCTTTCCTGCTCTTGCTTCCTTTGCTATATCTGTGTGTCTTTCATGGTAAGACTAAAGAAAGTCTATCCACGTTATAATAAATAAATTTCATATATTTTTAGTAAACCAAATTGTTGTATATATTTTTTTGGCTGCCTTTGTCCCTCTGTGTCTTGCTTTTGTTTTGTAAACTATTCTTAGCAGTATATACATATACACACACACACATATGTATTTCTTTTTATATCTATATACAGCAAAGAATTTCAGTGCAAATTTAGTCTCCTTACTGTATCTACATTTCTCTTCATGTATCTAATATTTGGTTCTTGTTATCTTGCATTTTTAAAGCTTGCCCAGTTACACTTTAAGGTATTTGCTTCATTACTGGAATTTATTTCTTATGGAAGTAGTAAGGAAAGAATCTGGGTGAAATGTTCCCTTGGGAGATGGGAAGAGAAAAAGATTTCTGACCTCTCTGTCCCTTCTTTCATGTTATGTTTATCTTCTCTTCTTGACATTTTAGTAATACCAAGTCATTCTAGCCAACATGGCTTAAAGGTAATACGATTTACGACTCAGATGTCATTAATGATGGCACAAATGGTTTAATTGAACCCCTCTTTGTGGTTTGTACAGTGGAATTGGGGCTTAGAAGTGGCCTAAGAAGCTAGCAATGAAAATCTGTCACAAAGACGAGCTGCCAGGGTCTACTTCATTTGACATATAAATCTCAAGTCAGATTTCTTTCTTCTTCATGCATCTTTTGATAACCTGTATAAGAAGCATTCTGCTGGCCATCTTCTTAGAGCAGACTGGCTGAGAGGTTGTATGTGTACGTGATGATAAGCAAAGAGTCTAGTTGGTGGCCCCAGAGGAGACACCTGTTCCTTTTTCCTTTTGCCAGCTGGTGATTTGCTTATCCCTCTTCAATACTAAGCATTTGTGGGATCTTGGCCAACTCGAGTTCTGATTATAGGAAAACCTAAATCTGTTCTCAACAAGCCCCAAATCCTGGTATTTCTCAGTAAAAACATTTAAAATTACATTTTTCAAATTTGAATTGGATTTGTAACAAGTGAAGCTTTGGAAATCACTTTTGTAATAGAGCACCAAATGCGTTTAATAGAAACTCAAGAAACCAAGGATTTTTTTTTTTGTTTGCATCTTTGGATGCTATCAGATATTTACTTTCCAGATGGCAAAAAATGCCTGTACCTTCCTTCCACTTAAATTGTTGTTTTCTTTTAACCTAAGTAAGATACGATTTCCTAGCAGAGTGTTACTTGCTTAGTAATTTACCAGCATGGATGCCTACCCTTTCCAGTGTGTGTATAATGCTTGGGTTTCTAATTCAAGACATTTCTGTAAGTCTCAGATTCTTTTCTTACTATTTATCATTCTGGAGTGTAAGTGTAAGCCACACAATGAGATAAATACAACACTTATATTTTCATATTTGTGTAGAATTTCAATTTACCATAAATCATGAGAATTCTGTAATTTGTGTGCCGGATATCTTGGGTCTCACTAACCAGACATACATTTTGCCATTTCTAACCTGGGCCTCAGTTTCCTGTTCCTCCAGTTGGTTCGAAAACAGACTGAACCAGTGCGTCCTCTGCATTTTCCCAGTTATCTTGTCTAGAACTGAGCTTAATTTGGCTTACTGTTCATTTAGACCAACTGATGCTTGTCTGCGCTAATGCAGTGTCTTAGGTCATATGGCCTGAGGCCTAACCTAGGAAATTTTTCTCCTTTTTTGTTCTTCCTAAAATATTTTTGTAATTTTCCTTTTATGTTTCACACTACATATCATTTTTTAAAACTTTATATTTTTTAAAAAAGGCTTAGATTTCCAGAAGAGTTGCAAAGGTAGTGCAGCCAATTTCCGGAGATACCCCACTAGCCTCCCCTGATGTGAACACCTTACGTAGCTGTGGTCCACTTACTAAAACCAAGAGAGCAACATTGGTACAATACTGTTCGCTACACAACAGACTGCACTCAGATGTCACCAGTTTTCCCACTAATGTTCTTTTGTGTTCCAGGATGTCCAGTCTGTGACAGTCCATCAGTGTTGTCTTTAATAACCTTGGCATTTTTGAATGCATATACTTTTTGCAACAAAAATTTAAATATGTGCATACATATAAACACATATTAGCTTGCCCTTTTGGGTGGTATTTATTGTGTCTTGCCCTCCCCACCCTCCCTCCCTATTCTTCCCCTTCATCTGTCCCCCACTCCCTAGACTCTTAAGGTAAATGTTGTCCTCTCATTACAGTCCTCCCCCTCATAACCAAATGCTGACTCAGGCTGAGAACATAAACCGAGTTCTCTGGCTTTCTCCTTCCAGACTCCCCATGCTTTCATTCTACACCTGAAAAACCATTTTAACAGTTTCTGTTCTAGCATTTATGTAATTACCATTCATTTATATGAGCAACTTAATGTCCTCTTCAGATTCTATAGTTGAAACATTATCAGCCTTCAGTTTGAATAGTAGTAATAATTTTTGCTACTGTTTTGGCCCACAAGATCTTAAAAACACATTCATGGAACTTCCTAAAAAGTTACTGAAATTAGTGAGAACCAACTGATATTTCCAGCATAAAACTGCTCTGCATGACATCCGTTTAATTGCTTTGCATGTATGTATTTTAATTGTTGTTACTGCTTGGTAATAATTTATTCAAGAATTAACAAAATTCAACCCGTGGTTAGATTTTGGTAGAATTTTTTTTGCGGGGGGATACAACCTTTTTTTTTTTTTTTTTTAATTCTACATCTTCCAAATTTATTAACCTGTTTCTTTAAGTTCAAATGGATACAATCATATGCAGATTCTGGCATGTCTATGCATAGGTAAACTTTTTCTCCCCTCACAGTAAGTAAAATTTCAAGTAAAATTTTGTGAACATAATGGCCTTAACTCCCTATAAAACTTCCTATGCTTTTTTTTACATTAACATTAATTGTGTGTTTGTTCTAGAACAGTTGTACACTGACCACTCTTCTCAGTTGATTTCTGGAATTTTTAACTCTTTGGTCTTTTAGAGAAGCTGAGTACATAAAAGATGCAGATGAAGAAAAAGCTTCCTTGCAGAAATCCATCAGTATAACTAGTGCCTTACTCACAGAAAAGGACGCAGAGCTGGAGAAACTGAGAAATGAGGTAGAGTACCAACTCAGGTGAATGTGAACATTCACACTGCCTCTTTCTGTTCAAACTCCAAGCCTAAGCTAAAATACTGTGTTTCAGGTCACAGTGCTCAGGGGAGAAAACGCCTCTGCCAAGTCCTTGCATTCAGTTGTTCAGTCTCTAGAGTCTGATAAGGTGAAGCTTGAGCTCAAGGTAAAGAACTTGGAGCTTCAACTTAAGGAAAACAAGAGGCAGCTCAGCAGCTCCTCAGGTAAAACGATGCTCCCCAGCACTTATCCATGCACGCACTTCCTCCCAAGGAGCCGTTTCTGGAAGAGAGCTCATCGGAGGCAGCCATTGTGCTGTCCTGACTTTGACTGACTTACCTCTCCCACTGTTTAATCACATGAGAGCTGGTCATGGCCGCAGGCCCCACACACGTGCCTGGTGTCCCTGCTTCTGGGCCTCATGATCTGTGAGTGTTGTCACAAACATCAGACAGTGGACAAGAGCTGCCATTATGGCAGTGACTGTGGGGTCTGAAAGTGCGTGGCAGTACAGGAGAAGAGGCGGTCCCTTTGGTGGAGAGTAATGGATTGCTTCTTTAAGTTCAGATAGAGGTGAGAGACATTCTTACCTCCATCTGGCCAGTAGTTGGCCAGCTTGAGGGAGAACACGAGAAGGGCAGGGTGGTGTCTATGGGGTCCCTTAGCATCCGGCGAGGAGATGAGAACTCATCTACATGTTCTCAAAGAGACACATCTGGGAAATCCACTTGAAGATGAGTTTCAATCACTGTCCCTTTTCACTGCAGTAACAAAAAAGATGGTAGAGTTTTTAAAAATTCTCCCTCCGCTTTTTTTTTTTTAATATAAGGTAATACTGATACTCAGGCAGAAGAGGACGAAAGAGCCCAGGAGAGTCAGGTAATATGCCTACCTTATTGCTTTGCTTTCTTGCTATTTTTCAGTTGAATAGGTAGTATGTTTCTGCAGTCCAGACATTAAACAAAATTAAAAATATATGCCATAAAAAGTCTTCCTCCAAACTGTCTCTCCTGCTCAACTTCCAAAGTCCAAACAGGTAATTACTGTTATTCATGTCTTGTTTTTTCGGAAAAAAAAAAAAAAAAAAAAAAAAAAAAGAATATATAAGTCAATACTAATACTACCCCCCACCTTTTAAAAACAAGTTATTGGCATACTACATAACCTGTTCTGTACTTATCTTTATGGCTGTGTAGTGTTCCATTATATGAATGTACCATAATTTAGTCAGTTCCCTATTGGTTGATAGGATGCCTGGGATGTTTCTGATCCTTTGGATGTATTATAAGCAATCTGTAAGAAATTATCCTGGGCAGCTATCATTTTATGTATTAGTATTTCTGCAGGATAAAGTCCTAGAAGTAGAATTGCTCTGCCAAAGGGTTCCATTCTCATCTTTACCCAGAAAGGCTGGGTTCTTGAAAACCCAGTCTCTTTATGCCAAAATTAACAAAACAACTTTAGTTTTTAAAATGGCCTTATATGGAGGCAATCTATTCTATATTTGGAATATTTGGAAACATAAATGTACCTGTGCAACAGACATCATTTACTTACTTTTTTTGGTCGAGATGGAGGTTTCACTTTGTTGCTACCCAGGCTGGTCTCAAACTCCTGGCCTCAAGCAGTTTTCCCATCTCACCCTCCTAAAATGCTGGGATTACAGACATGAGCCACTATGCCTGGCCCTGATATTCATCTTTTAACTTTAATAATTTACTTGGTATATACTTATCCTGTTCAAAATTCAAAGGTTCAAAAGCCATCTTTCATTTTTAAATAAAAATTTAAAAACTCAGTGAGTTTGAGATTTTTAGTTACCTGACATCTCCTTTGAGGGGCATGGAAGAATTTCAACAATGTGCGAGTTTGCCCTGGATTAGCGTTGCCTACTTTGTATGTCTAATTGCCTTAATAATTAACAATGTCTTCTCTTCCCCCCTTTCCACTCTGCTTCCGTTTGTTTCATCTGCCGCTGACAACACTTTGCTTCCAATCAGCAAATGGTTTGTTTTATGTTTCCTAATTTGTGTGCACATGTGTGTGTGTGTGTTTGTGTGTGTGGCCTCCCACTATACTTATATCCATTTTGTGACTTTCTCTTCTTCCTGAAATGGACCTCTTACCAGAACACTAACTTAGAAAATGCAATTAAAGAAGTAGAAACAGACTCAGTAGGTCTGCCTTCAAAGGTGTCCTCTTTCATGTTGGGGATATTCTGCACAGACTGACTGCCAGCTTTGCTACATAACGTGCCCCAGCAGGAAAAAAAACAAAACAAATATTTATTGAAAAAATAAAATATACATATGTGTGTATATTATATATTTTAAATATTGTGAAGTGGAATCTTTCAGTTCAGAGCAATGAGACTGTTTTTATTACTTATAAAAGAGGGAAAAAGCTTTTTGAGTGAAGGTGCCCTTAGTTTGAAAGGATATGTTCAGGCAAGCGCATTTCCTTCTGATGACCATCTCTTTGCCCCACTTGCCCATGACCCTTGGCACAGGTGACCTTCATATGTGTGGTACCTGAATGCTGCCTTGTCAGCGTGCCAGTATGTCTCTCCTCAATTGAAAGCCTTTTTACATTTTCCCTGAAGACATTCTTACTTATCATTCCACCATTACCAGTCAATCATTAAATGATGGTCTGAAATGAATTTCCATTTAACTTTTTCAAATCTACAGAACAGAAAAGTCTTGGATGCGTTCTGGAGTTTAATGGAAGAATGAACCTTTTTATGCATTTTGTAAAATTGTGTATATGTTTTTATGTGATAGAAGGAAAAAAGTTATGCCCATGTATTCAGAAATGTAAGATTATGACTTTTGGAGAATGCAAGGGGCTTTTTCTGTTAAAAATTTTTTTTCCTTATACTTTTCCAGGAATCGGTAGCACTCTACTAATCCACAGATCTAAAGTATAATTTCATTTGCTTCAATAACATGCATATTCATTTACAACAATAAACATTCAATGGAAAGTAATCTAAAATGCTTTTTTTTTTAAACTTTTACATTTTTTATTTTAAAGATGTGGGGTACAGTTCAGGGTTAGGTACACAAATGCTCATTATGCAGGTACCCTTGTTGATGAGGTGTGCCCCCCCGAAAATGCTTTTTAATATAAAATAGCATCTGCTCAGCAGGGAACATTTGAAGAATATTGAAAGCTAGAAAGGGGGAAAAAAGAAACCTCCATCGCCCCATCACTTAGGTATGGCCTCATTTACATCAACTTTTTGGTTGAACAATCTTAGCACTCCTAATCTCCAGATTGAAAAACACGGGTCAGTCAGTAAGAGCCACCGTTGACCTCTCCAGCACACATTGCAGCTGGAGCTTGAAGGTGTATCTTCTTGACTACTTGATACTCCAGCTTACGTATATTTTAGACATTTTAGACATCTCACTGTTTCCTTTTCTTATTTTTTTTTAAACAAATCAGATTGATTTCCTAAATTCAGTAATAGTGGACCTTCAAAGGAAGAATCAAGACCTCAAAATGAAGGTGGAGATGATGTCAGAAGCAGCCCTTAATGGGAATGGGGATGACCTGAACAATTATGACAGGTATTTCATATTAAGCCATAGTGACTGGAACTTTAGTTCCATCAAAATAAATGTTTTTACTTTATTAATTTATTATTTTAATTTTTTTTTTTTTTTAGTCAGAGTCTGTTTGTCATCCAGGCTGGAGTGCAGTGGCACACTCACAACCACCATAGCCCCGACCTGCTGGGCTCAGGTGATCCTTCCGCCTCAGCTTTCCAAGTAGCTAGAACTACAGACGTGTGCCACCACACCCAGCTAATTTTTTGATTCATTGTAGGGATGAGGTCTCACCAAGTTGCCCAGGCTCATCTTGAACCCCTGGTGGGCTCAGGCAGTCCTCTCGCCTCAGCCTCCCAAAGTGCTGGGATGACCGGTGTGAGCCACTGCACCTGGCTTAAATATATGTTTTTAAAATTAAGTTCTCCAGTGGATTGTAAAAACAGACAAAAAAAAAAAAAAACAATTGCTTTGTAGTTTCTTTGCCATAAATAGATTTCCATAAATCTGGCAAGAGAGTAAGAGATTTCAAATGGTTTGACATGAAAACTTAAAATATGGAATGTACTACTTATAATGGAGACTTACACAATGAGTTCTTACTTATTTTTAAAAATCTTTACAAGCGTTATTTTCAATTTCTTCTAATAAAGTTTCTGACTTCACACATTAACATTTATAGTGATGACCAGGAGAAACAGTCAAAGAAGAAACCTCGCCTCTTCTGTGACATTTGTGACTGCTTTGATCTCCATGACACAGAAGATTGTCCTACCCAGGCACAGATGTCTGAGGAACCTCCCCATTCCACACACCATGGCAGTCGGAGTGAGGAACGCCCATACTGTGAAATCTGTGAGATGTTTGGGCATTGGGCAACCAACTGCAATGACGATGAGACCTTCTGATAAAGCCCCAACTAGGCTTTCTCACTAGCATTTAAGCAATTTAACACCAGCATTGAGTGTGCAGACGTAAGGAGAACTCATGTTATTTTTGTTCCCCATCAACAAATCTAAGAAAATATTTTGATCTTCAACAAATAGTCCTTTAGTCTCACCTTATAAGTGAGAATAATAAATAAATACTTAGTAGGTGAGTTTCACCTCTAATTTTGTTTTCTTCATTTTTAAGTTTGAAAACATTGCACCAGATGCCATTACATTTATTGTCCCTAAACCTCATAAAAAAATCCTTACCCTTACAATACTTTATTTAAGTAACTTTAAATTATACTGTTACTTTTCATATTTGCACTAAAATATTTCCAGGCTGCATTTGTATATTTAGATTTTTTTGGTTAAGCTTTGACACTGGAATGAGTTGAAAAAATGTGCCATTTTGCATTTTCATCTACTCATTTAAAGTATTTTATTATTTTTCAAAGAAATATCTGAGCTCTTTGCACTACCCATTATCAGTAGTGCCTTTATTTCAGGCTTGATGATACTTAGGTGTGATTATAAAAATCATGAAACAGGTAAAGGGAGGGGGGAAGCCCCAGAACTGCTGTGGGGACATATTATAATCTATATGCTGCACCCACTTACTCTCCTGTGGTGTTTTGTTTATCAGTTTTGCATAATTTCAGCTTCTATATATTATATGTATATATTTTTTAAAAATCTATATTTTGGGAAACAACATACACAATGTGTCTTTCTTTTCAGATATTTACCTTTATGGGAAAAAAAACACTTAAAATGATCATCAGGACATAACAGTCTAGGCCAGAAATGGCATCATGTGGCTTTGCAATTATTTTGTTTGTTTGTTTTCCTTTTGTTTCTTTACCACATTGAAATAATGGGAGGAATTTTCTCCAAATTGTTTTCCTTCTCTAGCAGATATCCCCAGCAGTCAACTACTGATAAGCCACTATAAAACACCTAAATTAACCAATCTATAATCTTCTTTTACAAGGTTTTTAAAAACTGTTTATAGATGAATGTACGATGAGAAATTCAACATTAATAATTTTGGATTTTCTTATCACAAAAAATAAAATGAAGGACCTCAAACATCAGAACAGTTTATCAACCAGTTTGAATCTATTTATCTTCATTTGAATGTCTTTTAGAATATGTAAAAAGTAATAAAATGTATCTTCCATGCTACATGTATAATAAGAACTTCTATAACTGTATATATGCCTTTGATGTATTTTTCCCTTAAGATTATCAAACTGTGTTTGACAAGTGAATAGTAAATAAATCTGTTATCAATTGAAATGTTTGGTTATAAACATAATAGGAATTGCTTTACAAACAGAAAACATGTAAAGCAGTATTAAAATTTGAGCAAACAAGTGTTCTGTATCTACTTTAATAAATGGTTATTCTTTTTTGCCAGTGGTAGTAAACTGTAGTTATTTGCAGGTTTATTCATCATAATGGTTTTTCTTGAAATGAGCAAACCCTATAGATCCTAATAGCAATTTTGGCTGCAGTCTTTTTACTAAACAGCTTTTAAGGAATTGGTATATCCTTCTTAGGTCAAAGTGTTTGTGACCCATTTAGCACAGCTTACCTACAGCTGTTATCTATTACAATGTCACACCATGTTACTTAACAAAAATATAAGTGGCTCGGTGGCTCAGCCTGTAATCCCAGCACTTTGGGAAGCCGAGGCGAGTGGATTGTCTAAGCCTGTGGGTTCGAGACCAGCCTAGGCAACTTGGTGAGACCTTACCTCTATGATAAATCAAAAATTAGCTGGGTGTGGTACCTTGCGTCTATAGTTCCAGCTACTTGGAAGGCTGAGGCAGAAGGATTGCTGGAGCCCAGCTGGTTGACGCTGGGGTGACTGTGAGTGTGCCACTGCACTCCAACCTGGGCGACAGAATGATACTCCAACTCTCTCTCTCTCTCTCTCTCTCTCTCTCTCTCTCTCTCTCTATCTATCTATATATATATATATATATATATGGCACCATTGGCACCATGGAGGATAGTACCAACTGTATGTCAGTTATGTTTTAGAAAGAAACTCTATGAAAGTTGCTATGGTATTTACAAAAATGATTACTGAAACATTTGAGTGGTAGGCCTTTGGACATCTGTTTTATGAACACAGACTCACACACTGGTAGCTATTTCCAAAGTTACTACTTGAATAAGAACATTACTTCTACTTAAATAATACACTAAGACACTAGTTCTCAACTTTGGTAATGACCTTAGGTGATTAAAAGACTAACAAGACTGCAGTATTTTAACTATAGCAGCATAGCAATGCCTCTCCTGGTCTATAACAGCACCTTGTTATTTAATCATATAGCATCCGCATCCTGCTTGGGGATAGTATATCATCCTGATCTTGCTCGGTTACACTCATGCATGCTTGATATTTCACTAACCTTGGGTATTTTACCTCTTAGAGTAAGTTGTACCCTCATTTAGCAGCTTATCACATGGCTTACTGAGCACAACATACATTCTTATAGGTGTTAAATTGATCCATTCTCAGCCAGGAGGTAGCCCATAGTAACCCACATGTGCAGTCTCAGTTATTCCAGAGGCTGAGGCAGAAGGAATGCTCAAGTGCAGGAGTTTGAGTCCAGCCTGGACAATACAGCAAAGCCTCATCTAATAAAAATTTAAACATTTTTTAAAAGATGCATTATCAGAGCAAAACTGCACAGGTGAGAAAAGTTCGTGATGCAGGCTGAGAACCACTATGAAAACCAATTGGAGAACTAACTAGAGCATGGAATAGTTTGCACGTGTGCTAACATTCTGTCAGAATATAAATGTCCTTGATGGAATCAAAATTGAGAATATAAATTTTGATTGGTTGCTTTTCTGCATCATCCACAAATACCATTCTTTGCTTACTCAGAATCCATAATTGCTTAGCCAGTCTTCATAACATCAAGTGTCTACAGATATTGAAGGAAGCCATATGTTCCAAGAACAAAACATTCAAGTCTCACCAGTTCCCAAAAGACTATTTCCACTCCGAAGTAAAGAAATGAATATATATCCTCATGATTTACTGACCAATTAAGTTGCAGGCACCCTGCTAGCCTTTCATGCGGGACTATACAATGTAATTTACACCCTCGTTGATCCTCATAACAACCCACAAGGTAGCATGCGAATTTTAAGGATGAGGTAAGTGGTGGCACCTGGATTCCAGATGCGATGCTACTTGTGCGAAATACCACGTCTCTAAAAGCGTTAGGAAGAAAAAGTCACTCAAGGTTACTGTCGGCCCCTGGCCACATTAATTACGTTTAGCTCACAAACCAAAAGAGCCTTAATTTGTGCAAAAGGAAAAACTTTGAGGCTATAACCTAAAAGATTTGAGCAGCAGGGAGCGGTGGCTCACGCTTGTAATCCTAGTACTTTTGGAGACAGGCGGGAGGATCCTTTGGGTTTGAGACTAGCCTGAGCAACATAATGAGCCCCACACCCCATCTCTAATTCATTATTATTTTTCAGTTGGAATCCCACTCCGTAGCCCAGGCTGGAGTGCAGTGGCACGCTCACGGCCACCCCAGCGTCGACCTGCTGGGTTCAGGCGATCCTTCCACCTCAGACTTCCAAGTAGTCGGAACTACAGGCACGCGCTACCACAACCAGCTAATTTTTTGATTTACAGTAGAGACAAGGTCTTGCCAAATTGCCCAGGCTGGCCTCGAACCCGTGGGCTCTGGCAATCCCCTCAACTCGGCCTCCAAAAGAGCTGGGATTACAGGCTTGAGCCATCGCGCTCGACCGTAATTTTTAAAAGGATTTGAGCTGGGGTGGGTGACGCACACCTGCAGCCCCAGCTACTCGGGAGGCTGATGCGGGAAGACCGCTTGAGCCCAGAAGTTCGAGCCTGCAGTGAGCTATGTTTTCGCCACTGCATTCCAGTTTGAGCGACAGAGCGAGAGCCCATCTCAAAAAACAACAACGAAAGATTTCCATTTAAGTTGAGCCTCAAGATACCATTTTACAGCAAGTACTCGTGCTGCTAGGGGAAAAAATGGCGATGTCTAAACGAGAGGCGTGAGATCCGATCTCAGCTGTAAAATCCCTTTTTAGGGACCCTCCGCTCCGGACCGAAGCACAGAGTCTGAAACGCGCCGGGCGTCTTGGCGAGTCTGAAGACCCACAGAGGGAGACGAAAACGACGGACACTAGGGCCAGACAGGACTCAAGGCGAAGCCGGCCGATTCCAGTTTCCGGGTTCGTGGACGGCCCGGCCACGTGGACGCGCTCTCACGTGACTGCGTCCTTGCGCCTAGCGCAGGAAAGAGCGGACGTAGTTGGAGACCGGGGAAGGGGGCGGTGTGGCAAGATGGCGGCGCACCTGTCCTACGGGCGAGTGAACCTGAACGTGCTGCGCGAGGCGGTGCGTCGCGAGCTGCGCGAGTTCCTGGACAAGTGCGCGGGAAGCAAGGTGAGGGGCGGGGGACAGCGGCAGCGACACCGCCCTCGCCTCCCCGGCTCCGGCCTGGCTTAATCCGTTCCTGGCCGCCAGAGCTCTGGGTGTGCGAGGTCCCCGGGGCTTCCAAGGAGGCTGTGCAGGCTGCGGCGATGCGGCCGGGAGGGCCTGGGCGGACAACCCGGGGCCGGAGTGGCCCTGCGACTGTTCTGTGACAGCAGAGTAAGCCACTGTGCTATCCCAGCCCCTGGTGAGCCGTTTACGCCAAGTGCCCTCCAGCTCTGGAGAGGCCGATCTGGTGTCCTCCGGGGCGGCGGTGTCCATTCATTACTACGATTATTCGTGTCACTACCAAGTCGTACCTTCGAAGGTCTCTGAAGCACCAACACAACTGCTGCTCTTGCAGAATAGGAGAGAAGTTGTAGTTATTTGGGGGTAATCTGGCCTCCTAAAATAGAATTGTTTCTCCTTGTTATAGCTCCCAGCTCACAGGGGAGTCAGAAACTGTAGTTCAGGACTTTATAGGATTTATTTTAATTGGTGTCACCTTTTCCTCCGCTTCCTCTTAGGTCTTGTCAGACACTCTTGAATAACTGGCAGGGCCACTGAAGAGAAAAGTAGAACTGGGGAGCCTCAGGAACCAGTCTTAGAGAGGATAGAGCCCCAAGGGGGTTAGAGTAGGTTACTAGCAGGCAGGTTAAATCACTAGGGTACCAGTTTAAACTCAGTAAATGATGCTGACGTGTAAATAAGATCGTGGATTGTGTCAGTGTCAGTATCCTGATTGTAATATTGTAATATTGTACTCGTTTTGCAAAATGTTTTCACTGCGGGGAAACTGGCAAAGTATATGTGGGATCTCTATGATTTATTACAGCTGAATGTTAATCTACAATTACTTGAATAAAAACTTCAATTAAAAGAGAAATGGGCCAGATGCAGCGGCTCATGCCTATAATCCCAGCACTTTGGGAGGTAGAGGCTAGTGGATTGCCTGAGCCCAGGGGTTTGAGACTAGCATGGGCAATGTGGGAGATCTCTTCTCTACGATAAATCAGAAAATTAGCCGGACGTGGTGGTGTGCGCCTGTAGTTCCAGCTACTTGAAAAACTGAGGCGGAAGGATTTCTTGAGCCCAGCAGGTTGAGGCTGCAGTAGTCATGAGCGTGCCAATGCATTCCAGCCTGTGCAACAGACTCTGACTCAAAAAAAAAGAAAAGAAATGAAATGACGCTAGTGTTTAGCAGTAAACATACTCGTTGGGACCCAGAACAATGACTTTGATGTCAAAAAGTCCAAAGTTGAAGTCCTGACCCCTTTACACTATATGCAAAGTCCAAGGTCTCTTTGTGGCCTTGTACTTTTACTTAATCTTGAGCTTTAAAATTCCTCTTCTGTCAAAATAACCTTTGTCATACCTGTGTCATGGATTTTAATTTTGTATAACTGGTCATTCCCATATGATTCAATCTAATAATACCATGACACAGATACACAACAAACTATAGTTCCTTCTTCCTGTTGAGGACAATGATTAACTCAATTTTCTGTTACCAACAGTAGTATCACTTGCCCCTGATGCTATTTTTCTGTAGACTCTTAGGATATGAGTGTGGTCAGAGCCAATTAAAATTTTAACTCAGAGTTTGAAGCAATATTCTACTGTGTATCACTGCTGTTTTCTATTGATATTGTTGAAATTCCTGATATTAACCATCATAAGAGAATGTTTCTCCTCTCTTCTAGGCAATAGTTTGGGATGAGTACCTGACAGGACCATTTGGCCTGATTGCACAGTATTCATTACTGAAGGTAAATGAGCTATTGGGTTTTGTTGGGGGATTCGTAATTGTTTTCATTAGCAATGATGATAGGATTGTACATTTTAAGTGGATCGCAAAGCTGTTGGTCTTTGTTATCACTGCTACTAGTAGGTGATTAGTGTTTTGTATACAAGGGTCCTTTGCTTATTCCGTACTGATCTTAGTATTATGTTATGTGACCATTACTTGGTGTCTTTGATAGTTCATCATGTGAGAATCATTTGAATGCCAACAGAGTAACAGTGACTTTTTCTGGAAGCTTTGTCCTTTATGTATGTGGTTTTGAGGAATCTAAATTTTGACACTAGAGTATAAATGTGCACTTGATTGGGGGTGATTATGGTTTCTGAGTCTGGAAATGATAGGTAAATTTCAGTCTTTTTGTTAACCTTTTGTATATGTGTTTTCCTAGGAACATGAAGTGGAAAAAATGTTCACACTTAAAGGAAGTCGTTTGCCGGCAGCTGATGTCAAGAATATTATTTTTTTTGTCAGACCCAGGCTAGAATTGATGGATATAATTGCTGAAAATGTGCTCAGGTATCTCAGAGCTTATGTTTGATCTAAAACAGGTTGGTCTTTATAATGGTTTTAAAGTACTGAGCTCATTGCAGACCCCTACTCTTGCCAATGCAAGAAGGTAGTCTTTTGGAAAGGTAGTCATTTGGAAGAATATAAAAGGGGGAATGGGAAACCTGTTAAGTTGTTCTGAATAGTCTGAAGGGGAGGATCATCTTAACCCGTTCTTTTAGGATATCTGAAAAGTTTGAACCTGTATCAGTAAAAAGGACCCTGGCTAAAACAAACAAAAATTCTTATGGCTATTTCTCAATATACTGAATGTAGTGTGCTTGAATTTCATAAGCAAAACAGTGAGAGCTGATTAAAATTTAATATAGCATTCAGTCTACAGAGGAAGTTCTCTCAGCCCAGTCTGCACTCTGTGGTACAATTGATTGATGCAGCCAGCCTCTAAAATCTTAAAAGCATATGGGCTATTTTTAGAAGTCCACTGTCAAGGAGAGTAGAGGTGGGAGTTGAGAGTGATCTTTCCTTTTAATGCAAGACTGTGTGACTGCCTTGCTTTGGTTAAAGAGCCATTTGTTTTCAGTGAAACGCAAACATCCTGTTTCAATAAACCTGAGAGCTTTAATGCCCCATAAGTGGTTTAGGGGAATGCTAGAAGATCCACCACAAAGCACTGGCTATGAGTCAGTGCTGATTTCCTGGGGGTCGAGGTGGGGGGAGTAGAGCTAGCAACTGTAACAATTTGGGTCTGAGAGTCAGTATTCATATGTTTATCTAGACAGTATTTATTTAATGCCTGCTGTGTACCAGACAGTGGAGATTAAAAAAAAAAAGAAAAGCAAAAATAGGAGCTTATAAGCTAACAAATGCTACTTCCTTTGCAGTGAAGACAGACGTGGCCCAGCAAGAGATTTCCACATTCTGTTTGTGCCACGCCGTAGCTTATTGTGTGAACAGCGATTGAAGGATCTGGGTGTTTTGGGATCCTTTATTCATAGGGAGGAGTACAGCTTAGATCTCATTCCATTCGATGGGGATCTCTTATCCATGGAATCAGAGGGTGCCTTCAAAGTAAGTTTGGCATTTCCTGAACATCAGACTTTAATTTTTGCCAAGTTTATTAGTGTGAAAGTGTCACAATACTGTTTTAATTTGCATTCCATAATTCCTGGGAAGCTGAGGCCCATTTCAGATGTTTGTTGAAGATTTTTTTCTTTAGCAAATTACTTGTTCATTTTTTTTGCCCATTTTTTCTTAATTTTCATAATGGTACTAATCATGGGTTATAAAAGCTACAAGTATCTTCTCCCAGTCTGCGCTTGTCTTTTAACTTTATTTATGATGTCTTTTATCATGTAGACATTTCCCTTTCAAAGTAGTTAAATTTTTAAATAATGACTTTATTTATTATAATTCAACCATAAAATCCATCTCCTTTAAAGTGTGCAGCTCAGGGCTGGGTGTGGTGGCTCAAGCCTATAGTACCAGCACTTTGGAAGGCCAAGGCAAGAAGATTGCCTGAGCCCATGTGTTCAAGACCAGTCTGGGCAACTTGGTGAGACCAAGTCTCTACAATAAATCGAAAAATTAGCTGGTTGTGGTGGCGCACACCTGTAGTTCCAGCCTCCTGGAAGGCTGAGGCAGAAGGATCACCTGAACCTAGCAGGTTGAGGCTGCGGTGGCATGGGTGTGCCACTGCACTCCAGCCTGGGTGACAGAATGAGACTCTATCTCAAAAAATAATAATAATAAATAATAACAAAAATAAAGTGTGCAACTCAGTGGTTTTTAGTGTATTCACAGGGTTGTGCAACTATATTACCACTGTCTAATTTTGGAACATTTTTTTTTTTTTGAGTTGAAATCTCACTCTGTCACCCAGACTGGAGTGCAGTGGCAC